TAGCCAGAGTTAAACCACGACAATCTGCTGCCTGATGGAGGGGAGAAGGAGAAACGGAGACGGTGCCAGGTCTTGGAAAACGCCTGCCGCAGGCAGCCTTGGCTCCTAGGGAAGAATTTGCACCAGCGAAGCCTGCTTTAGGGGTTTGTAGCCTTTAACGTTCATGAATCAAGGGCTTCCTGGGCTTGGAAAGGTTGTGCCCACCTGCCTGAAGAGGATCAGATGTATTGTTTCCCAGGAGGGAGCTGGGAGGAATCCCCAGCACCGGACACCACCAGAGGGTGCTGCACGCGGGCAGCGTTCCACCCAGATAAGGAACAGGAGAGAGGTGGGCGCATTTTTAGGATGTTTAACATTTTCAGACTTTCCCCTTGTAGATTAAGGGCCAGATGGTGCAAAACACCAAGGGCCCTCCGCTCCCATCAACTTCAGACCTGAAGGATTCCAGTGTCTCCCTCCGTAGTGCTGGAGGCCTGGCAGGACCCTAACAACAGGCTTTGAAAGGGACCAAGTGGCTGGCAGAGGGAAGAGCCACAGAAGGGCTGGGTGCTGCTCAGAGCCTCCTCCCCAGCCAGCCCGTCTCCCTGCAGCGCGATAAACCCAGTGCACCAACTGCCACAGCCTCTTGGGACACGCCACTGCTGCCAGACCCTGAGCAACTGCCGCTCCTGAAAACCTGTCAGCGGCATCACGCTCCGGGCCAGCACCCCTGCCACGCTCCGGGCCAGCACCCCTACCACGCTCTGGGCCAGCACCCCTCGCCCTGCTTTGCCAAGCAAAAAATCAGCCAAGCCGAGGCTGATTAAATTCTCACTCCCTCAAAACAAACCTTTCCTGAGCCTTATTTTCAGCTGCTGCATCCGACCTGCTCAGAGAACAAACATCAGGGAACATCTTCATGGAGGGGCCATCTGCATGTGAACAGTCCTCCCTGCCTCAGGTTGCACAAAAAGCACGCAGGCCCGCGTCGCAGCACGCATCGTGGAGACCTGACGAAGCCAACTCCACCACTGCTGTTTATCCACAGCAACAGAAGGAGCTGCCCGTGTGCCGCGTCACCGCTCCATCGTGCCGGCTGCGGGGAGCTGCATCCTCATCCCTCAGACAAAAGAGGGGCTGGCTGCTCCCCCCTCCTCACCCGGGCGTGCACCGTGCCCAGCCCTGCACTGCTGGGTGTGAACACACGTGTGACAGACCCCTGTCTCCAGCCGCACTTTGTGTTCCACAAACACCTCCTGCAATGAGCGCCGGCGCACTTCCAGTGCCAGCAGCTTAAAGGCAACAAGAAAGCATTTCATGGAGCGCTCAGGCATGGTCAGGCGCACGGGAACAGGTTACACCATCTCAAGGTTGCTTGCAAAACCTGCGGGAGCAATAAGCCCCACGCTGAACAGCGATGCGGTGCGTACTGAAAGCAGTGGGCTGCTGCAAGAGGGTAACCTGCACGCGATCTAAGCTTCCACCACTGCCTCCCGAGCCACGGCTGGGTAACGCCGCCAGTTTCCGTGATAACAGCGCAGATCTGTCCAACTGATCTTCCCAGGAACCCCCTTCCTGAGCGGTACCAGCCCCTGCTAATCCAATCCCAAGATTAGCAGGTGGTCTGTGAGTACGACCAGGCCCACCATCGCCTGGATGGAAGCTGTCCCATCTGCAGTAAACGAGACACGTAAACTCGGCAGTACTCTCATCTTTAAGACCTCTAGAATTCCTAGAGAGAGCAGGAACTCATTCAGCTTTAAGAAACTCTGCCTAGATCTGCTTAGAGAAGTTACAGAGCTGAAGACATCTACTCCTTGGGAAGATTCAGCTCAAATTACAGCTGAGCTGATTTACCCCTGGGACAAGACTAATACAGCAATAGCCTGGCCACAGACCTCAGAGAAGGTGCCCAAGTATAACCAGGGAAGTCAATTATCCCTGCACCAAGTGGAAACCACACGGCCCAGTGGCAACAGCCATTGTTTTGGTGCAATGTGGGTTTTTAGGCCTTGCTTTTTGCAAAGACCAGCAGAAGCATCAATTCTCACTCGCTATAGTCTCGCACAGCAAAAATCTCACCCACCACGCTGCCGACGGCCGAATCCCAGCCCTCAGTGAAGCATCAACACCCAAAGACACTGCCTTACCGTTGACGGAGAAATGCCTTCCCCTCTCCCTGCACCTGCCAAAAGCAGGCAGGGATCATAGAATCATGGAACGGTTTGGGTTGGAAGGGACTTTAAAGATCATCTAGTTCCAACCTCCTGCCATGGGCAGGGACACCTTCCACTAGACCAGGTTGCTCAAATCCTGGGGGATTCCCTCTCCCAGGCAGCTGTTGGGAACACAAACATCTGAGCATGGATGTCTTAACGGCAGGAGACTCCAGGAATTAGGATCATATCATAGAATTATGGAACGGTTTGGGTTGGAAGGGACCTTAAAGCCCACCCAGCCCCACGCCCTGCCATGGGCAGGGACACCTTCCAGGTTGCTCCAAGCCTCATCCAGCCTGGCCTTGGACACTTCCAGGGATGGGGCATCCACAGCTTCTCTGGGCAACCTGTCCCAGTGCTCCCCACCCTCTGCGGGAAGAATTCCTTCCTGATATCCAGTTTACGCTGTTCTCAGCACACGTATGCCCTAGCTAAACATTCAGGGAAGATGGCCAGACATTCCCGATACAACATTTGCTACATGAAACAAAAAATCTTTCCTTATGCAGGGAAGAAACTCTTGGAGCGAGGCCTCCAGACCATCCCAGGGGAAAAAACACCAGCTTACAGAAGCACTTACCTATTACCGAGTTGCTATTTCTGTTGACAGGTTTGGGAGGAGGGACGGGAGGCTGTTTGGCAGGAGCGGTGCTGGTTGTACTCGTGGGAGCAGTAGTGTTGGCACTGGCAAGAGTAGGGGGCAGAGTCCTGGGGGCTGGGGAAGGGGCAGCTGCGGAATTGACCGTCTTTGTTGCAACGGGGGCTGTGGTGGAAGGTACAGTCTTTGCAACGCTGCCGGCAGGCAGGGGATCCTTGGCCTGTGCTTCGTTTGCCTCCTGGGAAGTGGAGGGAGGTCTTTTTGGAGGAAGCAGAGGCTGCCTGGGAACATACGGCTCCTGAGGTGGTTCCAATTCGGGCCCAGAGTGGCTGCTGGATGAGCCTGCAGTGAGACAGCTCGGTTTAAGAGACTGGAGTGGGAAGAAGCAGATGAGAATTCAAAGCCAGTCCTGGAAGACTCCAAAGTGACCCATTTTGAACACATCTGGTTTCTTACCCTGCCTTTTCTTTGGTTCCTCAGCTGGAACAGGCTTCCTAAGGCTGGGTGGCCTTGTGGCCTCTTCTTCCTGGCTGGCCAGGTTACAAACCCCGGGACCACCGATTGGGACTGTGTGGCCGTTCTTCAGCGCCGGTGGGTTGAGCTTGTCTGGTTCTTCACCATCTGCAAGGGGACCGGAGGGGGGAGAAGCAAACAGAAAACACTCAGAAAGCCGGGGACGGAGATGACACGGCTGAGCTGACTGCACTGCCACCCATCCGCACCCACTTCCCTCTGCCTCCTGGGAGAGGTGGTCACCAGTCCCCCTCCTGCAGAGAGCACACCACCACCGACGAGCTGACAGCCCTTGATTTCATTATCAACAAGCCAAATGGCACAGCACTGTACCCATCCAGTGTTCTTCTGCAGCAGCAGCCTCCCAACCTACCGCCTTGCTTAGAAAGAACGCTACCACGTTTAAGACTAGTATGAGGCCTAGTACCTTACTTTTTTACCTTTGTTTTAATCAGATGCAAGGAGACCTCTCCAGAATCTGATGTAGCTCACCATCGCTGTTTCTGCGTTTACAGATGGAGTTTCCCAAATGTTAGGAGCAAGACCTCTTTTGGAAAAAAAACCCATCCTCTTTTCAGTCCATGCTTTTGAGAGCACGTAAAACCCTCGTCACAATCTGGAATTTCTCAACCATCCTCTGCCTCTGTTGCCCTGACAGGACCAGCTTCACAGTATTATTCCCAAAATCTGACTTAGCATCCACTCTAACGGGCACTGCCCATTTTGACTGCTTTCCAACCCAAGGAAACTTGGATACACCACCAATTGGATTCAAAAATCCTTAGCATTTTCAGGCTACCATCTCTCAAGCAATTGCAGTGTGCAGTGTGCCCCCGGGTGTCAGAGCCCTGCATGCCCTGTTCCTTTATTTTTGATGATTTGTTCCACTGCCCCCTTCCCCTCTCCACTGCCTCCCCTTCCCTGAACTGGCGTTACTCAGAAGCTGAAAGCAAAGATGCCAGGAAGCCAGCGCTGCCTCGCTCGCTGAGCCGCCCTTCCCCGAAACACAGGACGCACACGCAGCACCAAGAGGGAGTTTCCTCCCCAGCCAGGGCTGAAACGCCAGAGATGGGCCGCAGCTTTGTACAGCAGCAATTGCCTCCGGCTAGCGAAGTCTTCAGCAAGGGAGATGGAACAGCACGGTCTGGCGTCCCGCTCCACTCGCACCTTGCATGCCCTTCTCCGGCACGGAGCCGCAGCACGCACAGAGTGCTCCCGATGGCCTCGCACCCCCTCGCTCCCGACTTCAGTGACCCCCTCACGGCCAGGGCAGTCTCCAGCGCTGTCTTCTCCTTCCTGTGAGCCTGGCGCAACCTGCAAGCCCCGACAGCAGCAGGGCCTCCTCTCCCTGCTGCCCCGGGTTTGAGAGCCACCTCTATGGCTCTTCCCTACCTCCTTGCTCACTCCTCTCAAAGTGTGTCCAGCAGTTTTTCCTCCTAAGAAAGTCAACCGACCTTGTACAAGAAGGTTTTAAAGCTGCAAGCAAACACAATCACCTACCACCACCGTCTTATGACTGCCCAAGTGTCTCAAACTCGTAGAAGGGATTAAGATAATGCGCGTGCTAATCTAACCCTCCTGACAACACCGACTGCTCCCTCACACCTTGGGCCTGCACTTTGCCCAGATTATAACCATCTTCTGTTTCTTAAGCCAGATCAGATGACTCCAAACAGAAAATAATTCTGTCTCTCAGCCACGCTTCTGTTACACCCCTACAAGTTGGGAAGATCTCCCTGTCATCTCCAGTTGGAAGTTTGTTACCCAAAGCCTTTGATCTCTCTGCCAGAGTTTCATCCTGTGACCTCACACACTTCTGTACCCCAGCGAAGCCTCCCTGCAGCCCAGCACTTACCCCAGGGGTAGCTGCAGGTGGCTTTCCTCACAGTGCAGCTGCAAACAACAGTGTTAAGACGTTTCCTCTCAGCTTTGCTTTCAGTGGTTTGGTCTGAAAACCACTTTTTCACCTCCACTTTTCCACTCTGCATCTTTCTTAGAAGGCTGAAATTTGCATCAGGCTAAGCCTGCCCCTGCATCAGGCCCTTGCAGGTGCAGCTGTAGATGGCCCTAAGGCAGAGACCACACTGCCACCCAGACGGTGAGCTGCTCTCCCACCACACGATCCTGCCTGCTCGCTGGTACCCACATCACCCAACACGCCCCAGCTGACTAGACGATGCCTGATCCGCCTGAAATGTTATTTTGGCAGAGTGGCCCCAACTCAAGAGACATCAGGGATGACAGAAAAGGGAATAAAACTTCTCTGACAGCAGGGCAAGCTTCAATAATCATAGAATTATAGAATCACAGAACGGTCTGGGTGGGAAGGGACTTAAAGACCATCTAGTTCCAGCCCTCTGCCATGGGCAGGGACACCTTCCACTAGACCAGGTTGCTCCAAGCCTCATCCAGCCTGGCCTTGGACACTCCCAGGAATGGGGCATCCACAGCTTCTCCAGGCAACCTGTCCCAGTGCCTCCCCACCTTCTCCAGGAAGAATTCCTTCCCCATGTCCCATCTCCATCTCCCTCTTTCCGTTTAAACCCGTTATCCCTTGTCCTGTCACTCCCTGCCCTTGGAAAAAGTCCCCCCCAGCTTCCTTGTAGCCCCCCCAGGCACTGGAAGGGGCTCTAAGGTCTCCCCGGAGCTTCCCTTCTCCAGGCTGAACCCCCCAACTCTCCCAGCCTGTCCCCATGGCAGAGGGGCTCCAGCCCTCGGAGCATCTCTGTGGCCTCCTCTGGACTCGCTCCAACAGCTCCATGTCCTTCTGCTGTTGGGGCCCAGAGCTGGAGGCAGAACCGCAGGGGGGTCTCACAAGAACAGAGCAGAGGGGAAGAATCCCCTCCCCAGTAAGCTTAGCCGTGAGCACCTACGACACCACACCGTGAACCATCTCGCCTGTAACTCCCTGAGGAAACGCCCCTAACCCAGGCAGCTCCAAAGCCATCAGCTGGTTTCTTTTTTCCAAGCCTAAGGCCTTCCAACCTGCGCGCAAGGCCAGCACCTCTCCCGCCATGGTTACAGCGCAGTCTGCAGCGCGATCAGAACAAGCCGGAGCGTGACGGAGGAGCCCAGCGGGACAAGGCAGGGTGGCTGGAGCGGGACGCGTACGAGAGGAAAAGGATAGGAAATGACACACAGAACATCCCTTCCCTCCCCGCCGGCAGCAGGCAGGAAGATGTCCAAGACAGGCATTATGCCCTCTTAGCAACATCTTCCTCGCTGCACGGCTGCCTTCCCGGCCAGGTGCGGAACTCAGACGTAGGGACAAAGGCAAGACAGTCGGCGGCCGCGTTAGCCAACAGCCATCCAACTTGTCTCCCCCAAAAGAATGGCTGCGAGGGTGAGGTTTTGCTAGAGGAAGATCGGCTACACAGAAGACAGACAGGAGGAGAAGTTCATTTGCAGACTCACCCTGCTCAGGGTCTTCCAACAGAACCCCTCTTTTTACCAGCTCCTCTCTTGGCTTTCGCATAGAAATCTTTCGTTCTAAAACTGACATTAAATTGAAAAAAAGCACTCAGAAAACAGCATAAGCTAGAAGTTCAAGATGATACTTTTGGTTTTTGTTTAAAGGGATCCTCTGGAGGAAATAAAAGGGCTTCCAATTTCACTGGTTTGCCCGGATTCAGAGGCAGGAGGAGGGCCTGCACGTCCGGGCCTGCACTTCACACTGGATGGTAGAGCAAACCCTCCCTCCCCACAGCTGCTCGGGGAGGTTCCTTTGGAGAAAGGCATTTGTTTGTCTGAAGCCGCTGCTCCGTGGCAAGGTGTTTCTGGAGAGCTCGCAGGTGCCAGCCCATCGCCAGCCTCACGCTTCGGTTCTCAGGCCTGTCAGCGCACGGGCTCGGGACAGCAAGGCCCTCTCACCAGCCAGCTGGGTAGCTCTCCCGAGCAGAGGAAGGGACTCCCACCCAGCCCCCGTTACTCTACCTTCCGAAGTCTCCTTAAATTTGTCACTGCTTTTCTTTTTCCTCCACTTCCAGGGTTTGAAGATCTTGCCAAAACTTGAGAACTTGCTTTTCCTCTTTGTAGGAGGTGTGGTGTCACCCGATTCCAACACGTCTACCCCCATGCCGGCGTCAGCTGGGGGGTGATCCACCTCTTCGGCTGCGCAGAAAAGAGCGAAGGAAGAAGTTACGGCTGTGCTGCAGCAAGAGCTGCCGTCTTCCCCCCAGCCCGCCCCTTGCACACTGGGGTGCACGTTCATGCAAAGAAGGGAGCGAGACTCCATGCCATACGTCACCCGCCAGCCTTTCCCGTTAGCTCAGGAGACAAGAGGGGCGTTTCCAGCGTTAACAGGCCACGGGGTACCCGCGAGGAGGCTTTCCAACGCAACACGGATTAGTTGGCAGCGTCACAGCTTCGCCCAAGGAACACAAATCACTTTGCTGCAGTTTCTCATAGAATCAT